AGTTCAGGTTTTGGAGATAATACACATATAAGAATATTACTTTTTAAAATTTTTTTAAGTAAGGGTATCACTTTTTTATTGAATTAATCAAGGTTATCACCTTTAAAAATGGTTAAATGCTTATTTTGGTCTCTCAACTTTATTAGTTTGCACATTTTTGGTCCTTAAAGTATTTTATGCATATTTTTTACCCCTCAACTTTAAGAAATGCACAACGTTTGTCCTTTCGTCACTTAGGGCCGTTAACTTCACCTATGTGACATTTTTTATATTTTTTTATGATATGGGGAAAACAACTCAAAAAAGTGATGATTTGGACATTTTTTTGATGACATGTCCAATGCCAACTTAAATCAAATTAGATTAGTATTTATATTTTTAATAAAAAATAAAAACTACAAATTTACCTTAATACCCCTATCTCCCTTTCTTGATCCATCTTCTTCCCCTCTTTCAATCCATCTTCTTCCTTTCTTTCTTCCTCTTCTTTCTTCCTCTTCCTCCTTTGTGTTGTTGGGTTCCCTCAAACGCAACTAATCTAGGTTCAAGGGAACCTAGATTGAGTTCGATGGAACCCAGCAAACTGGGTTCCATCGAACCCAGATCTGTTTGGTTCAGTGGAACCCAAGTTGGGTTCCCTCCCACCCAGATTTGCTTGGTTCGAGGAACCAAACACTAGGTTCCATTGAACCTAGAACCCAGATTTGCTGGGTTTGAGGAACCCAATAACTAGGTTCCACCGAACGCAGCTCCACTTTTTTTTTTTTTTGTTATATATGTGTTGCGAAGAATTTATGTAAATTGCAAGTTGTGAGGGATTTTTGGGATCCTTTTGCGTCATATTTCCTAACTATTGTCTAAATTATTTTAATGTTCAAAATGGAAAGAACATTGTCGGCGATGGAAAGAATAGATGCAATGATCGATGGGCAAAGAAGCAATTTTTAGTGGGTTTCCATTTGTTTGGCTAGAAAATTGTACAAGGTGTTTGGCTGCTGAGAAAATGGTTTCAATCTGTTTATTGGTGGTTTTTTGCAAGTAATGTGGAACTCATTGGAAGGGCTTTGGTGTGAGAAGATGACATCTCATCAAAAAAGAAAAAAAAAAAAGTCCAGATCAACATCTTTTTAAGTTGTCTTCTCTATGTCATCAAAAAAAAAAAATGTCACGTGGCAGAATTAACGGCCTAAATTGATGGAAGGACAAATGTTGTGCATTTCTTAGAGTTGAGGGATCAGAAATGTGCACAAAATACTTTAAAGACCAAAAATGTGCAAATCGATAAAGTTGAGGGACCAAAATGAGCATTTAACCTTAAAAAATTTCTAAATAATTAAGGATATTACCTTTTCAATTTTATTATTGAAGGATTAATTGGATGTCAATGCTGACTTGGTAAATGGATTCCATCTGTCAGACCTACTAAATTGCTGATGTGTAAAAATATTAACAGGTGGCTGCCTGACTGGGAGCTGATTTGGACAATAAAGATTCACGTTAGAATTTTTAATGAATATTGTCGACATCGAAACATGTGGTATCGACACTGAACCCGTGTTGGGAATTCTTTGTTAGGTTTAGGAAAAATTAATTAAAAATTAGAGTAAAATAAATTAGTAAACAAATCCTACAAAGATTGAAGTAGGGTATAAGATCCCTCTAAAATAGCTCTTTTACAGTTAAAATAATGATATTTTCATACCGATCTAAATATTAAAAAATTATAAAGAGATTTAAACTCTTATTTTATCTTTTATAATCGATTGAGAAAACTACACAATTTTGAAGAATAAGTTGTCATTGGATATCTTTTTATTTGTTATTTTTATAACATAATGTCAAGGTAAAATTACTTATTTTATTCTTATTATTTTTTGTAAATAACAATAATATTATTAGTTTGAGTACAACATATATTTAACCCTTGCAATCCATCTCAAGATCTCTCTGCTTTTTGTTTGCTATTACACCTTACTGTAAACTTGAATCACAATTTTTAATAGGAGTTTTTGTCCGTTACTAGAGGCACCTATTAGTCACAAATTAAATCTCTATCTCTTTCCAGAATAATTGGTTATGCAATATAATATATTTTTTCCCAACTTAACACAAAATCTCAAAGTGGTAGGCATAATTCTAAAAAAGTTATTATATTTTAGAAAAAGATGTATTCTCTAACTTTCAAAGAAGTGAAAGTGCAAAAAACAACGGGAAAAATGTGAGTTTTTTTTAATGATATTTTTATAATATTTAAAAGTATGTAAATAATTTAATATCATATTCAAGTAATTTTTTTATTTTTTGTCATGCAAGAATTTTGGAAACCTTAAACAAAAGAGACAAAAGAAAAATAATCATAATTTTTAAAGTGAATTATCTAGCTCTCTACATGGATAACTTTCTTCACAGGCAATAGAATGCTTTACACAAGAAAGTCAAAATTTTGAAACATAAACAAGCCATGATGACTTCTTAAAATTGTTATTTTTACTACTACAGTTATTAAAAATTTAATATGGTGCATTAAATAAATTTTTTATTTAAAATATTTTCATATAATATATCCAAATGATAAATTCATTTTAATAAATCTATATAACGTACCTAATTGTGTTTAACTAATCCATATATTCATTATCATGTTTATAATTTTTCTTTAATTTTATATATTTTTTGTTAAAATGAATAAAAGGAAAATGGATCTTCCAACGTGGGTTGGGTGTCGACATCACTCTTTTCAGTATTGACACTTATGGTTGTCATTGAAATCAGCTTGAAGTCAAAGCAACCACCTGTCAATTTTTGGACACATCAACAATTTAGTGGGTCCCATTAACGGAATTTGTTTGCCAAGTCAGTATTGACATCCAATTAATTTTTGAATAGTAAAATTAAAAAAGTGATATTCTTGTTTAGAAAATTTTTAAATGTGATAACCTTGATTAGTTAAAAAATATACTTTTAATTAGAAAAAATTTTAAATTTGATATACTTATATGTGTAAAATCTCTTAGGTTCTGTTTTGAAAAGCTTATTGTTAGTCTACCTGATAAGACTCAAAGTTAATATTGAACTTGCATGAAAGGGGTGTATTAAGTCACATGACAACCTACAATTGTGGGGGTGTGTCCAATTAATTTTAGGTTAGCAAGCTTTGTATTAAAGTTTACATATTTAATTTTCATATGATATCAACTCTATTCCTAGAATGATCATTGTTAAACTACCAAACAAAACCCAAAGTTTGTGCCCAATTGGTGTATAAGGAGACTATTAAATTATGTGACTCAATATTTATAATAAGCTTCTACATAAGACCATATAGTAAATGAGAAAATTTCACATTAATAATTTAACCAAAAATCTTATAAGTTAAATACAAAAACAATTACTTTATTAATTATTAATTAATTTTAAATTAAATATAAATTTTATATTAAAATTTACGTGCTTAATTTTCACAACGCAAGGCAATTAGCCAATTACTACTTTTCAGCGCCGTTGACCGCTGTTTGAGATATTACGTGGTCCACTTTCGTTCCTTCTTTTTAACTTCCCTTTCACCAGTTTCCTTTCCTCTCATGCTGCCGCTTGACATATTTTAAAAAATATTATTTTTTCATTTTACATAACTCATCATATAAAAAAAATATTTTCTTTGTTTGCGGCTGTGTGGACACTCATTTTGTTCCTTCTTTCCCCTACTTTGTTTTATCTCAATCTCTCTTTCCACGAAATGCAACCATGAAAATGAAAGCCGAAACATCGTTGCAGTTGCAAATTCATTTCCAAGCGAAGCAAATCAACGTTAAAAACAGGATGACCACGCATAAACTTCCAAGTTAAAGTATAAATTTGATGAAGTTATTGTCTCCAAAAAAGGTAAACATAGAGAGGAAGCCTTCCTAATTTTGTCAATTATGAAAATCTCTGAAACTTTTGTTCCGGACGAAGCCTATGCCGAGAAAGGCCCATCCCATGATCGGTAGTAGCTATGTTTCTGTATTTTTAAGGCAAAACCATAAGTTAAGCCCCTAGACTTTAATTGATGCATATAAGCCCTTAAACTCTGCGATTAAGGCAATTAAACCCTTCTTGTTACGCAAACTTAACCGCCGTTTCAGACTCGCTGGCCTGGCTTAATTGCCATTTGGGACTTGCTCGGCTAGCTGCTTGGATGGCAAAATATTGCCATGTCATGCTTATGTGACCATATGACAAGGGATTTGATATTTGAGCGGGATTTTTGACTTATTTGATCATTCAATTTTTTTACTTAAATAAAATCTAAATAAAATAAAGTCATATTTGAATGAAAATATTATTTAAATAAACTCTTAAATTTAAATTTAATAAATATAGTAATAGACATTAAAATTTTTTTTATATGATTCATTATAATTTAATTTTAAATTAGCTGATAATAATATAACTATTAAATTTTGAAAGTTTAATAAAAAAATAGGATCATTTAAAATAATAAATTTATAATTATATGACATATGATATTAAATAAATATAATAAGAAAAAAATACATAT